ACACATAATAATTAAGATTTTAGAGAGTATAATTTTACTTTATCAATCTTATATTTTAACGAGATTAAGCGTATGTGAACCTAAAGATAGTTTTTAGCTAGAGATAGTTGATGCCAAGTAAGTGTTCCTTATAGACCAGTAGCATATTTCTTATTAGTCGGGAATTATTATGAGTTAATGGAATAATGTCTACCTAACTTTTATTTCATAGTTAGTGGTTTCTTACACTACTAGAAAACAGGTCATTTCCAACGGCAAAATTCCGTCAGAATCACCTTGAAATTCGTCGGAAAAGGTCGTTTCCGACGAAATTTCCGTCGGTACGGGTTGTTGGAAAACTTTTGTTGGAAAAACGACCTTTTGACGGAATTTTCGACGGAATTTCGTCGTTGGAAGAGGAATTCCGGTCACCGGAAAGTCCGTCGGAAATTTCCGACGGAATACAATTCCGCCGGAAACTTCCGATGGAAATTCCGTCGGAAATAACATTAAAAAAAATAAAAATAAAAACCTAGCACCACCCCAACCACCCTATCCAGCCACCACCCCTACCACCAGCCCACCCCCTGCCCCCCTACCCACCCATACCCCTACCAGCCCCACCCACCACCCCCACCACCAGCCCTAGCCTAAACCCACCCACCCACCTTACCTGAACCCACCCCCCTAACCCACCACCCTTAAACCGACACCACCGGCCTGCCCCCCTACCCACCAGCCCACCCCCTGCCACCACCCTTAAATCGACACCACTAGCCCATCCCCTACCCCCTACCCACCAACCCACCCCTACCCCCCTACCCACCCAGACCCACCACATTCCCACCCCAATACGAAACCAGACACCACCACAACAGCCCACCGACACCACCCCACCACAACAGGCCACCCTACCCCACCACCACCGACACCACCACACACCACCACCATTCCAAAAATTCAGTAAAAACCGAAATTAACCCCAAAAAACCGAAAATTAACCCCAAAAATACGAAAATTAATACAACATAATAAAATTTTACGACAAAAAAAATAATAAAAACCAGATCTACATATTAATCAGAATTTCAATAAAAAAATTTAACAAAAACGATAATTAACAAACGAAAATTTAAAGAAATAAATTAATATACAATTTTATCATAAATTTTATAAACTAATATTACAATTCCATACCTAAATTACAAGATCTAAAAAAAATAAAAAAACTTTGAGACTGGTGCAGTGCCTCGCGACGGTGGTAACTCGGTGTTGCTATGGCCGGTGATAGGCTTGAGAGAGGAGAGGAGAGAGAAAATACGTGTTGCTATACTCGGTGCTATGGCCGGTGAGGGATGCGGAGAGAGAAGAGAAAAGGAGGAGGAGGAAAAGAAAAAGAATGAAAAGAGAGAAGAGAAAAGGAGCAGGAGGAAGGAGAAGTGAAATGAGGAGAGAGAGAGAGAGGAGAAGAGATGGAGGCGGGCAGATGAGGAGAGGAGAGAGAAATGGGAAATAAAAGGGGGGGAGGAGAATCGGGTTTTTTTAAGGGTTTTTAGGGTTATTTTTTTATTATTATTTTATTATATTTCGACGGAATATTCCGTCAGAAATTTCCTACGGATTTATTTTCCGCCGGAAAATAATTGTTTCGACGGAATATTCCGTCGGAAATCTCCGACGAATTTTATTTCCGTCGAAACATTACGGTTCCGACGAAATAATCCGTCGGAAGGCCCATAAATTTCAACGGATTTTTATTTCGTAGGAAATCCGTCGTAAATTTCCGACGGAATAAAAATCCGTCGTAAATTTCTGACGGAAAACATGTCCGTCGGAAATCGGCCTGTTTCTAGTAGTTTTATTTGAAGTTTTATCTAAACACTTTGTAATTTTCAGTCTAGTTAGTGAGTACTACTAGAAATATGTACAATATGTACTATATTTTGGTTTATAACTAATATGTGTACGTGTTTAGATATCATAGATGATCTTTATATGTATTAGCTTCAGATTTCTATTTTCAGCTTTAGTACTGTATACTTTTCCAATTAATATCTATCAAATCTATTCTTTCATTTCATAATATAGATGATCGCTAAATTTAGTTGTTTGTGTAATTTAGGAATTGACAAAAATTAAGTTATATATGGATCAAAATTGGATGAACTATCCTAGAAGTTCGGAGGACTTTAAAGTTGCTTTGAATATTTTTCTTGATGATTATTTTGCCAAGGATGCCATTGGAGATCAAATATTTTTCCCTTGTAAAATGTGTTCGAGGCGTTTTTGCCATTCTAGAGATGATGTTTATGATCATTTGATTGTTAATGGGTTTGTGAAGGGATTCAAGGAGTGGGTCTTGCAAAGGGAGGGATATTCTTCTAATGATAGGCAAACTATGCATGAAGTAAATAATCAAAGTAAAAATGATGATATCGATGGCTTAGTACATGATACTTTTAGAGATGTGGGTGAAGGTCTAAATAGAGATCATGAGGTTGAAAGTGAGCCAAATGAGGAGGCTAGAAAGTTTTTTCATTTGGTGGAAGAAGGAAAGAAAGAGCTCTATCCAGGCTGTAAAACTTTCTCAAAATTGTCTTTTATAATTCGTTTGTTTCTCTTTAAGTGCCTTAATGGCTTAAGCAATGTAGCCTTTGGTGATCTTTTAGAGTTATTAAGAGAGGCATTTCCAATGGCCGAACTTCCTAAATCATTTAATGAATCTAGAAATATAGTGAAGAATTTAGGTCTGGATTATAAAAAAAATCCATGTTTGTCCCAATGATTGTATTCTTTATAGGAATGAATTTGAAGGAGCGGATGTTTGTCCTAAGTGTGGTACATCTAGGTGGAAGTCTAACAATATTCTTGCAAAAGTTTTAAGGCATTTTCCTTTGATACCTAGATTGCAAAAACTATTCATGTGTTCCAAAACAGCCGAATTAATGGTTTGACATGACAAAGGCCGAATAAAAGATGACAAAATTAGACATCCGGCAGATGCCCAATCTTGGAAGGACTTTGATTCATCATATCCTGCCTTTAAAAATGAAGCACGAAATGTACGTTTAGCTCTTGCTAGTGATGGATTCAATCCATTTCGAACTATGAGTGTTGCTCACAACACATGGCCTGTTGTGTTGATAAATTACAACCTTCCACCTTGGCTTTCTATGAAACCGAAATATTTTATGTTGTCTTTGTTAATTCTTGGCCCTAAGTCTCTTGGAAATGACATAGATGTTTTTTTACAACCATTAATTGACGAATTGAAGGAATTATGGGAATTTGGGCCTGAGACTTATGATGCATTTAAAAAAACAATCATTTCAATTGCATGCTGCATTAATGGGGACGATCAATGATTTTCCAGCTTATGCCATGTTGTCTGGATGGTCAACTAAAGGAAATTATGCATGTCCTAATTGTAACCATGATGTGAAACCTAAATACTTGCATCACAACAAAAAGAATTGTTATATGGTACTCGAAGGCATCTTGATATGGATCATCCTTGGCGGAAAAATACAAATTCATTCAATGGAGAAGTAGAGGATAGGTGTGCACCTTCTCCGTTATCAGGTACTGATTTGATGAATGAATTAGAGAACTTTGAAAATGATTTTGGGAAGAAAAGTAAAGGTGGAGGTGGTAAAGGTCCATGGAAAAAAATATCATGCTTTCTACAACTGTCTTATTGGTCTAATATTAAATATCGTCATAATTTAGATGTCATGCATATCGAGAAAAATGTCTTGTGGTAGGATGGATTATTTTGTTTAAGTGTAGTTGGATGGATTGTGGTAGGGGAATGAACATACATGAACAATACAAGCTTGTCGAAGTAAATCATACTAAGAAATACCCCAAGTATGATCCCTTTGTATTATCTTACCAAGTGACTCAAGTGTACTACACATCATACCCTAGCCTGAAACTAGATCGAGTTCAATGGTGGGCTGTGTTTAAAACACAAGCAAGGGCAGTGGTTGATGATCCAGTGGACTTAGAGTTTTTGCAGGCACCATCCCCACAAGTACATGCAACGCTTGCCATTCTAGACTATGTCCTAGATGATGATGATGAAGATGATGACGATGGCTTTGTTATCTCAAGCGATGAAGATGATGAATCTAGCATCGACTCTAGTGGTAGTGACGAGGATGATGACATCGATGTATTATTAGATGATAGTAGTGATGATTACATGTGATGAGATTAATGAATAGGAGAATATGTTAATCTCTATTAAGAATTTGGTTGTTATTGTAATATCAAAATATGACTTGGTTTTATAATAAATAGTTACTTTTTGTATAAAATTTTATTACATTACACTATACTAGTAATTTATAATATCATGTAATGTTACTAACAACTATTTTAGGTGGTCATGGGGGGGTAGAGGTGGAGAATTGTCGAAGAAAACAAAGGGGAAAGGGAAAGCTCCCGCCGTTGTGATCGACGACTATGCTGAAGACATGGAAGATGCACTAGTACAAAACTATCCTCAAGTAACACCCAAAAAGTGTTACAAAAAGTGGTACAAGTGTTATTATATACAATAGGTAACACTTTAGTGGGTGATACATCCGCCCATGTTACCTAAGGTCTTATGTAACACTTTGGACAACATATGGTAGCACTTTTCAAAGTGTTACTATATAACCTCTTATGTAACACTTTTTTAAATCATTAGTATCATTTTTAAAGTGTTACTTTTTATTTCTTAAGTAACATTTACTTATCTTTAGTAACATTTTTCAAACATATAGTATCACTTTATCCGACATTATGTATCACTTTTTCAACCTAATGTAACACTTTGTTGATTATTAGGTAACATTTTTCAATCATCTTTTGACATATAGTAGCACTTTATTCAACATTATGTATCACTTTTTACAAGTTAATGTAACACTTTATTCATTAATAGGTAACGTTATTATTACTATTATTATTAAATCATAAAATGATACGAAGTACTTTACTTGTTCATCATAAGCTATATTCATTATCAATAAAACTAAATTCAATCTTTAATTGATAAAGGTGAAGTCAAATACAAGAAAAAACCAAATAAATCAAAACTTAGTAGTACTCCATTACACTATTACTATATACAATTAAAAAGAAAAAAAACTGCACAACAGCTCCAAGGAAATTAAACTAATGGAATCAATTTTCTCTCTATCTTCTACTAATTGCTTGAAGATTTACGAGTATCTTTGTCTTCAATTAATCTGGACAATAAGCAAAAAAACTAAAATTAAAAATCAATCAAATATACACTAAAGTTAAACATAGAGACATAATTAGGCCTAACAAGTGAACACAAAAAATGTATACAGAAGCCTATAAAGATTGCTTAATTACTGGTAGAATACAAAAAAAAAAAAAAAAAAAAAGGAGTGAAACCATACTAATACTTGGCAGGCGTATTGGCGATTGCAATGACAAGCTAATTCAAATTCTCAATAACTTTATAAGATTAATTAGTTAAAATTGTATCTCACCTGAACAATAATTAGTTCCAAATTCAATTTTAACTAGAAATTTTAGCTTGGTTAATTTACCAATTCCAGGTCTCAATTTATATAAATGAGGTGTATCTAGAAAATTGAAACTGATAATTCCCCTAAAAACCTACAGGAATCTTAACGTACTCCTTAATGAAGGTATGAATTTTAAAATTAGCAAGCCATTAACGACAAGATTCATACAAAATTAAACCAAAACAGAAACCAAATTGACAAATAAATAGGTTTGACTACACTAATGATATGCTACAAGTTTATAAGATCAAAATATAGATTAAAAACAACATCAAATTCAATTAAATCAAAGAGTAACAGTTTATCGATAAAGAATCACAAATAAAATGTGGAGATTGAAGAAAAAAGCAAAGAATAAAGAGGGGAAAGAAAATATGAGAATACTTACAAAATTGTTGTATCAAACTGGCTCATAGAGACTGAAATTTGCTAGTGCAGTTGATTAGCAGGGGTGATTTGAGATCTAACAAATGAAGAAGGTGGTTCCCTTTAGACCACCTATTCTCCTTTTACATAAATATAGCCGGAAATCATTAGCTGGTCACTGTCTGTTTGCTTTAGAATTACCATTACATGCATTCAGCTAGCAAGAAAAATTAAACTTTAGACTTCTACGAGTAGTACATAACTTGCCTTTACTTTTCTCATAACAAACTCATAGAGATTAATACACTTATCTCATGCTTTTTCTCGAATTTCTACCTCTTTGTGAAGAAAGATGAACAGGAAAAATACACTAACATAGTGGAATTTAGATAAATCATAAATCACGTGCCTTGCTAGCACTAAGTCAATGCATATTCTAATTACTCATTCAAACTTTAGTCATTGCATAACTCAAGTACCACTTTACGGTAAAGTAAGACTATCATGCTGAACTACTAGTCCTTGTACAACTACTCAAGAAAAATAAATATAAAAGCATAGAAACTTAAAAACCATGGCCTCTATGGCTCAAACAATATCGTAGTTTCTAGCTAATTCAATTTTGTTTAGTGCTTTTCATGAAATGAATACTTATTAAACGGATGCCCAAGTAGCATGTTTTAGCGGATACTTATTAAACAGATGCCCAAGTAACATGCTAAAATGATATAGACTCGGAAAAACAGGCTTTGAATCAGAGCAAAATCAGGCTATATCATCATCACAATCTATAGCAGAACCAGTTTTTTAGCTACTGTCTGTGCCAAATTCTTCTAGGCTATATCATCATCATCACAATCTGCCAAATGCATAAACCTTTGTTGTGTAGAATTATACATGTCATAGGACCTCTACTGGTCACTTTCATTGATTAGGATACGGGTTTAAGAGCTTAATACCTTAGTTAGGCAGACAATTATGATCCCACTTGACTGCATATTCAAGTACCTGAGCACCTGAGTAGAGAAAGAGCACCCGATCACCTGACTTTACATAAAACAAAGTCTAGATTATTAATTCTTCCATAATCTTAGTAGAAAGGGTATTGCAGGCATTAAGTTTGGTAATCATAGGATTCAGAACTACGACATACAGACCAACCACCATAAGATTCCAAGGCATTAATTTTTTTTTCCACGAATTTAAGCAGAAAAAGAAAAAAATGAGATAGAGTCAGGAACAAAGAAAGAGCACCTGACTGACTGCAAATTCAAATACCTAAGCACAGAAAAAGCAAAAGAGCACCTAAGTGACTGCAAATTCAAATACCTAAGCACAGATAGAGCACCTGATTGCACACAAATGCAGTCTAGATTAATTTCTAACATATTCTTAGTAAAAGGGTAATACAACAGTAAACTAAATGTAATTTGGGTCCTGATGAAATTAAGAATGGCCCTCTGAATATTTAACAGCTCATAGGTATTCAACTACCACTATAATATCAAACCTCAAGTAAATTCAACCTGCAAAATAGAGTCAGAGCTTCTCTGTTACACAACACTAAATCACTAACTTACAAAAATCACACCATAAGCTTCTCTGTTGCACAACCAATAACCAGCTTAGCCACATTCATTTCAAAAAATCAAACATGTAAGCAGAAAATTCTTGACAGTACGGGACATCACTCTAGACAATACCGAATTTAAAAGCATGTAAGCAGAAAATTCTTGAAGGTGTTACTTTCATTCATAACAGTAAAATGAAGAAAGTAAAGGGGGGAGGGGGGTGACTAATCAAGCATGCAAAGTATATTGTAAATAACAGTAAAATTTTGTGAAAAGTTGAATAGGGATCATACTCAAAACAAACAGGAAGTAACGTAGGTGGCACCCAGTACATATCATATTTTTCACTATGAAACTATACCCAAAATTATTACCTAGACCTTCCATATATTTCCCAAGACTAGAATAATTGAAAGGTAAAGCTATAAATTTAGCAATTTCCATGTAAGTACATTGTAAATAATCGATTAAGATCACCAAATCATCACCCATATCAACTAAAAAATTCATCATGCAATGTATGTGTAAAAAATAGAACAAACAAGGAAACTCTATAATCACACTTGATTAGGGGATTTTGCTCCCACCAATCGGAATGCGCCACGTGGGCCAATCAGGTCCTGCCAAGTGTCCCCCAGTTGGAACTGTCAGGGCTTGCCACATGGCACACGCTTATTCGTCCACCTTGGACCTATTATGTCATGACACGTGGCATACTCCATGCCTAATGGAGAAACCGGCCACCCAGGCCCAACTTCCGAGGGAAGCCCAATCAGCCCTAGGTTAACCTAAACCTAGGATTGGCACGTTTCCCGAGGTTATAAATACCTCCCTTAATCCTCATTAAGGGGGATTACATGCAGATCACGCGAACAACGCAGATTAAGCAATTAAACACTCTCACCTAGAGAGACCCAATCACTTTAATTTCCGCATTAATTACTCCTTAATCAAGTACTAACTTGACCGTCGGAGGCGGAGCTCCCACCACCAGGAGTCTCCGTTGTTTTGCAGGTACAAGCGTCCGGTTCCAGTCTCGGAATTGTAACTCTCCCGCAGGACATCAGAAAACCCCGAAACATCTGGCGCCGTCTGTGGGGAGAGTACTTCTGAGATGGCATCCACGTTTGTACCGACTCCTGAAGAGAGACGTCCCCTGGACGACCCTCTAGTTCAGTCGGACCACGATACTGAGAATGAATTTGAAGTTGAAGCTCACACAGCTTCAGACGAGACCCTAAGGGCCCGACGTACCCGTCATACCGAAAGGAAGGAACGGGAACATCTTCAAACTGGAAGCGAGCCAGCAGGCGCACCGCCTGTTCGGCAACAGCCGACTGACGGGTCTGCTCCCATCACAAGGAACGAACTCATGACCTTCATGAGGGACTTCAAGGGAGAAATTCAAGAGTTGATCAACAAGAAGCCGCCTGCTCTGGACAAGGAGCAGTCGGCTAAGAAACCCTCCACTTCACAGAAGAGGAAGCCAGTTCAAGGGCGAGAGGCGACTCCTCATCCTAAATCTAGGAAGCGGGAGCCGACTACCCTTGATTTCACAAAATACCGTTTTCCTACTTCAGGAACTAGGAAACCTGTTCGTCATATTCAGGCGGACGGGTCGAGGAAAACATACACAGACGCTCGGCTACTGCTAGAGCAGAAGAAGAGTGACCGATTGTCAGAGTCGGCCTCTACTTCAAACTTCCAAGACAGTCTGCGAAATACCTCGATGAGGCATACTCAGTCGTATCGTGAGAGTCAGTCAGGCGGCACCTCCCGTCAGTCCGGCTTTTATAGCGACCAGGCGGTACCAAACTTACCGTTTGTACCGCAACAACAGTATTTTTTACATCCACCTCCGTTTGGTGGACATGCAGCAAAAAATGTCCAACCTATGGACTGGCAGCTACGGTTGCTTAGACTTGGTGAACAGCCGTCGGCCTTCTCCAAGGAAATTACTGAAGCCGCTCAGCCGGCCAAAGTGAAAAATGTATTAGTAGGCGCCTATGACGGCACTACTAACCCAGAAGACCATCTGATGGCATTCACCAACCTGATGTACCTTCAGGGGTTGGATGATCCCACTTGGTGCAAGTGTTTCCCAGCGACTCTCAAAGGAATCGCACAACAATGGTTCGGCAACCTGCCGACTGGTTATGTAAATAACTTCAAGACACTTGCTTACTTATTCACCTCCAACTTCGCCATGAACATCCCTGCGAAGAAGACGACCCTTGATTTAGGAACAATTCAGCAGGGCGAGAAGGAGGGGCTTCGTTCTTACATCAGGCGGTTTAACCTGATGAGAATACAGATTCAAGGGTTACCGGATGAAGTAGCCTATACTGACTTTTTCAGAGGTCTCAAAGACGGGTCGACCTTCAAATTTGATTTGGTCCGAAAGAGGGTGGCGACTCTTCAAGAGGCCTTGATTGAAGCGGAAGCCTATATACAGGCGACTGATCTTTGTAGTACGGTAAAACAGTCAGACGGGAAAAGGTCCGACAAAAGAGAAGGACGACAGAAACAGTCGTCAAACAAAGACGAGAAGTGAAAAGAGGTCTGGGCGGCTGATTCCTCTAAACAACCGGCCCAGAAAAAGAAAAAAGAATTCAAACCATACTCCCCAAAGTATGCGTTTAACAAGGATAGCCAGTTTATCCTAAAGGAAATCAAGGGACGGATCTCAATTGAGAAGCCGGTCCCCATGAAGGGTTCTGCAAACAGTCGGAACCAAGAAAAATTCTGTGATTATCATGAAGATGTTGGTCATCACACCAATGATTGCATCAGTCTCATGCGGTATCTGGACCGCCTGGCTGAGCAAGGTGATCTTGACACTTATGTCAAGAAATCTACGGGGAACACTTCCTCAAAAAAGCAGTCGACCAAAAAGAATCAACAGGCCGACAGCTCCGATACAGATGATGCAGTCGTCTACACCATTGCAGGCGGCTTCTCAGGAGGCGGCCCCACTATTAGGGGCAACAAAGACCATATCAGGCGGTTAGATGTAAATTCCGTTCACCAAGAACGGCCCTCCAAATATTCATTTCCTGAGATTGTCATCACTGAAGAAGATCTAGGAGGGGTAAGAGGGCCGCATGACGACCCTATCGTTATTGAATGTAAAGTGGCCAACCAGAGAGTTGGCCGAATCCTCATAGATACCGGAAGCTCCTCAGATCTCATCAGTAGCAAATGTCTGTCGAAACTAAAATATCAGACTGATTGCATACATCCGGCATCCCACCCTTTAGTAGGGTTTGGAGGAGGAGTCGTCCACCCAGTGGGACGAGTGGATTTACCCATCCGCCTGGGCGAAAAAGGGGAAGGACGACACATGGTAGTCCGGTTCCTGGTAGTAAAAGAACTCTAGGCCTACAACATGATTCTGGGACAACCAACCCTGAATAATTCCAAGGCTGTTATAATCCCATCTCTTATGTTGCTCAAGTTTGAGAGGGATAATGGAACAGTCGGGTCCCTAAGGGGAGATCAGAGGATGGCCCGAGAGTGCTATCTCTCGGATGTCAAGCCCACTGTTATGGCCACTGGGACGACTGGTGGAAAAACAGACCTTGACAATGTCAAGGAGAGTGCGCATGTTCAAGAAGCAGGCGGCAAGGAGAGAAAGGCATCCTAGACAGAAGCTCAACCTGGATGGATCCAATCAGGGCATATCTGACAAACGATACCCTGCCGGATGATCATCAACAGGCGGCAGCACTGGAAAAAAAAAAAAAAAACGAGCAACCAGTTTTGAAATAATAAAGGGAGAACTTCACAAAAGGGGGTACCTTCAACCCTTCTTAAAGTGTGTTACTCCAGAAAAGGGACGAGAGATACTAGACGATCTTCAATCTGGTTACTGTGCTTCCCATATAGGCGGTAGGACGCTTGCTCAACGGGCAAGGCGGCAGGCCTACTTTTGGCCTACTTTAGAAGCAGATGCGATGGTGATGGTGAAAAAATGTGAAGTGCCAAAGGTTTGGCAAACTAATTCACCGTCCGGCTACTGACCTCACTACCATTCATAGTCCACTACCGTTTGCTAAGTGGGGCATGGATATTCTGGGTCCATATACGCCTGCTACAGGCGGAAGGAGGTACATACTTGTTGCCGTCGACTACTTCACTAAATGGGTAGAGCCGGAGGCTGTAAAGGGAATCAAGACGAAGGATGTAATTTCATTCATTTGGAAAAATGTCATCACTCGGTTCGGGGTTCCCATGTCTATGGTTTTTGATAATGGTCTCCAATTTGAGACGCCTGTTCTCAAAAGCTGGTTGGGTGACCAAGGAATTTCACACTACTTTGCATTTGTCGGCCGTCCACAAGCAAACGGCCAGGTAGAAGCCTTTAATAAAATCATCTCAGACGATCTCAAGAAAAAGATTGAACAAGCAGGCGGCCTATGGGCAGATGAATTACCACATGTTCTCTGGGCCATTAGGACGACTGAAAAAGGGGCG